TTTAAAATTATAAAACACACACACAATCAAAAAGAACCTCTAAGACTTGTACCTCAGTTGATTATTTTAAACATACCACGAATAATTGTGGGTGTTCATTTTAACCATCATATTCCTTGTCAAATACTGGAAGAAGAAACTTAACTGAGGTGGAAGAAAAGGAAAAACATTCCTTACGATTCAAGCTTCAATTAATGTAAATTTTTGAATTATTACAGTGTCATCATTTTTTTTCTAGAAAGAAACACTATTACTAAAAGACAACTAGTCTAAAAGCAAAAATCCCAGGTAATAAGACAAAAACATTAACTGTCTAGCTGATAGACAATGCAATTCAGAAGTGATCTGCCACTGTCAGTTTTATACCTTCTCAAAAGTCAGTTTACTTGAGACATGCTTCCTAAGTGGTCATTCCTGGTAAATGAGTCAAAGTAGAGCAAAACCAGAAAATATCTGCATGTTTATATCAAAAGTTACAGACAGATTTGCATTATTGCACAATGTAATATACATAATATAATAAATACCTATTAAACACACTCATACATACACATGAGCAAATTCTCTATATATCTGCATGACAGCTAACATTTTCTCCAGGTGAAAAGCCTATGCATTATAGTCTTAGAACACGACAGAGGTGAAAATAGGGACAGAGGTGAGTTAACCTTACCATAAAACTGAAACACCTAAAATTTACTAGGAGGCTTCAAGAAAGCCTGGATATAATTAAAGTCAAGTGCAACATTCAGCACTAAATGCAGTCAAGTCTTTGCCTCAAATATGTTTTGAAATAACATTTCCAACTCTCAGCTTCCATGCACCTTCAGTTTTTTGCCTGGACTTTGGACATGTTCCATCTAAGTACTGAAACACATAACAATGGAACAAGAAAGGCCATGTCAGCCTTGCATAGTTAACATACTCCGTGGACTGTAAGCAACATAGTGGAATGTGTCTGTGTGTTCTCCCATGTGAACTTTCTTGATAATGATGACCTAAAATCAGCACATACCACAGGTTAATACTGATGAACTCTTTGTGATACCATGAATCCACATTTCAGATTTACTGAAACTGTGGAATAACACTTTTATATAAAAACGTTGAACAAAATAGCCAATCACTTCACTACTCCGCCAAAGTAACAAGTCCCTGAGAAAAACGGCGCTGCTCTCTTCCAATTAAGTCTTTGTTTACAGCTGGTCAGAATACCAATATTTTTTGGGATAAATGATAAATAAGAACAACTTTTAAGAAAGGAAATTATGCAGCTATCTTCAGGTTTCTCAATAGATAGAAAGTTCCTCTGGTTACATCCATATGCAAAATCTACCTTCTTTTTTCCTTTGTCCAGTTTTACAATACTTGGTTTTTATTCACCCTCCTACGGACAGAACCACTAGGAAAACAAAGTAGCATCTGAATATCATTCATCAGAATGATTAAGAAGAAAGAAACATATAGGTGTAACTACAAAAGTGCCCTGCCATCCGGTAACAAAATTTGATGAAAATCAGCTCTGTAGGCTCTATAAAGACCTTGTTTCTAGAGAATGAAATGAAAGTTTTATCTCTATTCTCCCTGTTCTACTCTCCAAAAGATTCAGTATTTTGAGATACCATCATTTTCAAGATGTTAGTACTAGTTCAAAATTCCAAAATATATAAGTTTTTATCAGTGTTGTAACTTTAGACTATTTAATCAATTATCTTTCTATTAAATTTAAATCCACCCCATATTTTGTAGTCTTGAGCATATGTACATTGCCAACAAGATAACAGAAATGACAACATAGGAATATCCATTTGTTTAAGCTTACAGTAAATTTATCTTAAGTTTCTTCTTACCCATGAGATTCCTTTTCTTTAATGTTATTTTCCTATATAATCCTCTTACAACTTTGAAAGAAAGAAATCCTTTTGCAATAAGAATTCTGTGTTCAGAGAACTGCTACATGACAAGCAATGCTGGCTGTTTCCATCCCACTGTCTTTAGAATGGGAGAACTCTCCAATTCCACTTATGCTATTATATGGACAAAGGCCAAGCTTCAAGTATTCTGCTTTTCCACTGTTACTTTCTACTATTTGTTGCTGAAAAATATAATTATGTCAATGAACATAAACCACACTTACGCATATGTAAATATTAGCCTAATGTTAGTTTTTGAGCCTTTGCATATCAAAACCAGCTACCACAAACATCCCTGAAGGATTCCCAACCTTAATTTTTCACTGATAATACTGAAGTTCTTTTAAAGAGAAAACACTGAACTCTGTGCTTTAGAAGAGGTGATCCTGTTCAGGTCTAGTTCTCCAATCTCTGACAGAGGAGAAAAATTCAACATATTTCAGCAATAATTGTAAAGCAGAGAAAGTAAAAAACTTAGAAAAAACTTATTTAAAATATCCAAAAGACAGATTAGGTCTTTTTATCCATGTATCTTGTATCTATGTCTAGTCTCTTCAGAAAGCACCTTCATTTCAATGATGTACTACTACATCATTAATAAATTTCTGTTAATTTGTCTTCTGGATAATTATGCCATGTGATATGCATATTTAATTTCTTTAAAATACGGAACTATCAATTAACATATCATCCAGAAATTATTTAAATGTGGAGAAAAACATCTTGATAAGAGAAACAGTTTCTCTAAAGCAATACAGAAAGATTTCATTAGTGAGGAAAATCTGTTCAGAGCAAAACTTATCGTTTTTCAATAAGTACATGCCCTTCAGTTCATGACCAGCTGACTCCCAGACTGACCACAGACCCAAGTTATTCTTTGCTCACAGAGATAAAACTGAATTATGTTGGCAATTAAAATAAACACACAAAGGCTGAATTCTTCTGCTAATGTAAGCAAAACTTGGATACAGAAATTTTCTGCAGCTGGTTTTGAGAAATGGACTTTATGATGCTACCAGAGTGTGGCAAAGCCTATTCTTAGGCTGCTGTAAGGTTAGATAATCAAGAAGGGCCATCCTCACAGAAAAATGCAGCCTCCCTCATTACCAGCTCAGTACTCAAAGAACATAAATCTGCAAAACCCTTTTCTTAGGCCATAACACAGCAGGGTAGCTGCACTCCCTGCTTGTTTCATGTAGAGCAGTAATGAGTCCTATATCACCCCTGTGAACAGTTCAGCATCACAGCTGCAGTAAAGGAGGCCCTTACAATTCCTGGATGGAGGAGGTAACCAGCAGTGGTACCCTAAAGATATGCTGAAGGTAGGGAGAGAAATCAGTTGAGTTCAAAATTTCAAAAAATCATAGAATAGTTATGGTTGGAAGAAACCTTAAATATCATCTGGTTCCAACTCCCCTACCATGGCCAGGGTCACCATCCACTACTCCAAGTTGTTCAAAGCCCCATCCAGCCTGGTCTTGAGCACTTTCAAGGATGGGACAGCTGCAACTTCTCTGGGCAACCTGTTCCAGTGCTTCACCACCCTCACAGCAAAGAATTTCTTCCTAATATCTCATCTAAATCTACCCTCTCTCAGTTGGAAGCTAGTCCCCTCTTGTTGTATCACTATATGCCCTTGTACAAAGTCCCTCTCCAGCTTTCTTTAGGTACCAGAAGGCTGCCTTAAGGTCTACACAGTTCCTTCTCAATGGTTCCCATTTTGCACTCACTGCCTAAAGGAGGAAATGGGGAGCAAATTTCACTTGTATAATGCTGGAATTCAGGCCAAGCACTACACCTAAAGCTGTGAAACATCTGTTTACAAAGAACAAATATACTACTATGCATGGACTTAAAACCATTTTGAATTCCTCACTTTACACAGATCCTTGTGCAGGGCAGGCGGCAATTAAGCCAGCTCACTGACAGACAAGACAATTCCCAGGGCATGCTGGAGACAAACAATGGAAACTGTATACTAACGTGCTGCTCCTTCTCTTACTTACTCTCCTTCTACTCCACTCCCCAATATTACACACATATATGAACACATAGCATGCAAAATACATACTAAAATGAGACTAATTCCGGATATACTATGGTGGAAATAGCCTTTTTAACCTATCAGATAATTTATATTTCAATCAATATCCAATATCCAGCAGACAAAGTTTAAAAAACAAAATTAGTCTGCAGAGAACTGTAATAAGACTTGGGAAAATACAACTTTTGGGTGCACTTTTGAATGTCCTGTTAGAAAGCATAGTGTAGCTTAAGATATCTAAATACAGCTTCCTCAGCAAAATGCTTCTTCTCAAACAAGGTAAATCAGATAAAAGAAGTATCATATAAAGAAATACACACAAATCTTACACACAATTCTACTTAAATTTATCCACAGTTTCTCTGCATGGTCAAATAATTCTATTGAAAGCTGATTGAGAAGTTTCCCTTGTTTTCATTCAAAAATGAACTGATATTTTAAATCAGTACTAAAAGTTATAATCCTTGCAGAATAAAATACACTAAAAATACGGAGTACAAACCCCCATTAATCCCCTTTCCCTCCCCACACCCAAATAAAGAGACTGTATTGAAGTACAAAAGACTGATCAGAACAGTCCTACTGAGCCACAACGTCTTCACTGTTTACATCAACTTTGCATTTCTGAAAATACGTACTGACATCACTACAGGAATTTATAAGGCCTCCTTCTTTCAGGAGGAGTCCTTTTACTAGTCCTTTGAAGGAGAAGCACATCCCTGTTCAGGAGTTTCCTTTAAATATGAATTACTTATTCATAGTTGATAATGATCACCAGATCTGTTTCTTCGTGGTTCCCATATCATGTAGAACACCTTTTTCCAGATACAATCTGCATGACATGATTTTATGACATTGAAGTTGGTTGGCTTGAAAACAAATTTTTTAAATCCACTTCATAAGCAGTAATTGTGCAGTTTGTTATGACAAAGCTACATCTTCAACATCTTTTAGAGATACCATGCCTCAGGGTCCCATATTTCATCTGCAGCTTTCAAACAAATTTCTATGTATTTAAAAAGAAAGTAGTTTTCCAGACTTACGTTGACTTTGAAGCTTTGTACTGAGCCATCCAGAAAGTGGACGTTACAGATTATTTCTGATCGGGTTTTCTCTTTTGGTAGCTCCGATGCTCGTATGTTATTTATCCTCCCACCTAAGGCTCGTAAACGGGAGTTCATAACTATTGCTGAATAACCTATAAAACAAAAATTATGTTTAATGACAGTTCTTATAATTCTCTATGTTTGTTTTTCAGAGTAACTTACAACATCATGAAGACCTCATTACACCCCAAGCTAACAAATGCTTCTTCTAGAAAAGAATAAGTTGTAAAATTAGCCTGTTGTAAACTAGAACATAAATGCATAAATATAGAGGGGTTCCCATACTGTAAATGAGAAAATTATCAAGAGAATTACAGGTAATCCCTGCAATGTCTACCTGGGTTAGGCATGAGTCAGTGCCTTAGTTTAAATCAGTAAAAAACCCCAAACACCCACTATAATGTAGGAAGGCAACGTCAAGACAAGTTTTTATCATCTGTGACTAGGAAAACCCTTACCCCCATTTACATTTCCTACATATTTCTGCATTTACAATACAAGTTCCACTACAATAATTCTGTTTACTCTCAGCTGACAAAACAGTCTTGAGTTAATGCAAATCAGATTCTATCAAGTAACACTTTGTTTCAGGAGTATATATGCAAACACCATATGTAAGGCAAGCAGAACTAACTCTTAAAACATGCCAATATTTTACAGTCTAGCATGAAGCCAGAAAAGAAAATCCCACAAGAAAACACTTATTTTGTTGCTTAGGCTTTTTCTTTTAAAAAAAACCTCTTAATGAAAACCAAAACTCTAAAAACCAGGATTTACAAATTAAAACAAACAAAGGAACGTCCCATCAAACAACAAAAAGCCATTCATTGAAATAAGAGGTGAATTAAATTCAGACAAGCCTGTAAACATTTCAAGCCTCTCTTCACTGGATCAGTTTACCAATTAACATCACAGCGTTTAAAGCCAGTTGGCAAGCGAAGCAGAGGATAGTTTTCCAGGTTAATTACCATACCAATTACCAAACCATTCCTCACTTATAAGGGGACAGCTACAAAGGGACTTGCATAATATGAGTGTTACATAGACTGCTGGCCAAGCTAGACAGGACCTATATGAGCACTATTTTGCCATCTTCCCTTTTTTGTCTATCTGCCTTAAAACACAAGCTGCCTTTTCTTTTACACAGCTACAGAAATGGAACAATTTAGAAAAAAAAATATAACTTAAAATACCAAAGCATTGTCTCTACTAAATATCTCTTTGAAAGGGAGACATGAAAAGCATGAAGAGCCATGAAATGTAAAATTGCATAAAGTGGTCTTTTTGGGGTTGCAAAGACAACAAAGCAGTGCAGTGATCCTTCTCCACTCAAGTCCGTGTAATCTATACTCAGAAGCAGCTAAAACAATTGCCTTCTCACAGACAGCTCAGAAGTCAGACACACATTAGCATTCAACACTTCCAACAACACTCTCATGGTTTTTTTTTGTCAGCCAGTTGATAGTTCACCATTGTATATTTTCTAAAATCAAAACTGTAAGCTAGCAAGACTCATTTTTTTTAGCCAGCATGCATTTTTTTCCTCAGAAAAGGTGTGGGTTAGGGGTTTTAGATGTTTCTTTTTTTCTTTTCTCTGGCTCTTTTTTTATTCTTTTGTTTTTAAATAAGGGGATAAAAAGGAAGAGGTAATCTTTAGGAGAATTATGAACAATATTTCCATATAAACCACCAAACACTCCTATTGCTTTGAAATTTTTCTTGATGTACAGTCTGCATCTAATCACAGGTTTTGTTTTTTGTTGGTTTTTTGGTTTTTTATATCCAGAAAATGGGGTAATTCATGACTGGTTGCTGTTAAATAAAATATACAGTTATCCAATTATCAGGAGTATACAAAAAGTTGATGACAAACTAGGATTGTAAATGAAGTCTTCAGTCTCACATTCTCTAATTTTCTAGCAGCTAAGTTTTAAACTATTTATTCAGCACCATGTTCACCTTTCACCAAAAAGTCAAGTGACTACATTAATTATACTACAAAGTCTTTTCTCCACTCTCCACCTCAGCTGGCAAAAAACACCTTCTCATTTGCAGAAATAGCTCTCTATCCACTAGTCCACTGATGGGTTAAGTGGAAGGTTATCCTTCACTGTGGACCAGCCACTAGATGAGAGAGAATGTTTTGGTAGCCAGATTCAAAGCTTCATCAGCCTGGCCTTAAGGGCTCAGTCTGCATTCCAACACCTAATGGTCCCAGCACACAGACTTCTCCATTCGTGAAAAAAGGCTATTTGACCCTTTTGCTTATAATGTCCAACCTATCTTACACTTCCACCATTCCCTTTCTCTATGCCCTAATTATATTCTAACTTTGTCAGGCTTCAGCAGAGCACAGCAGTCCACAGGAGTCTCCAGCACCCTGCTCCTGATCTACCCAGAGAGAGGGAGCAAAGAGTGCTCAGCCCCTGAAGCCCTAGTGCAGAACATGCTTCAAGTTAAGCTACACCTGGAGACACTTCAGACATTTTGATACCTAACTCTAATCCCTCTCCAGCAGAGCATTATTTTTTCAAGTGTTACAATATAGCCAGATCATGCTACTCACTTGTTAGAGCTTCAAATGCAGAAGCCAATAAAATAGCATCAATAACACTTATATACACATGTGTTTGCAATCCAGAAAAAAAAAAAAACAAGAAAAAAAAAAACAGCAAAAAAAGAAAACTCTTATAACTGCAAAAAAATTAACCTGAATAAACCAAATTGATGATTTTTATTTAAGTGACTGTGCATAGTACCACAAGTAATTACAGGTCAACTTCATACCACGGTCCCTCTGCAGGAAACCCAGCCTGTCTCCTGCATAACCAAAGCTATCTAAGAGCTAACAGTAACACATACTTTCACACTGCAGTTCATTATAAAATGAGAGGTGCTTAGTTTGAAATTTGTAGCCTTGTGCTAGTTTTTTCAATTACCTCTGCTTTAACACCTTCAGGTGATCTGCTGGATGCTGGGTTATATGCCCAATTCCCCAGGTGAAGCAGTAAGTTGGAAATTTATCATGAGAACTTCAAACCTGCTACTGTGATCAGTTTGGGTTCACAAATGAAAACCTGCAATTCCTTTATTTTTACCATTTTATGTAAAATCACACCAGGAACACAGAGTTCATGGTTTGTGCTTACGGCAAGCAAAGAGCCCCAGCTGAGGCTGTCCTCAACAAAGCCAGCTGACCACAGGAGCTGTGCCAAGACAGGGACAAATGGCTGAGTGTTTGGATGCCACAGCTATCAGTCAACTGGAGCTCAAGGGGACTAATCAAGGCCTAGGAAACTGTCACCAGCTGGAGTCCCCAGCAGAGAAAGCCACACCTTCTACTTCCCACCTCCATGGCCTTGAGCACCACTGTGCCAAGTGAGCTCCTCAGGGAGCTGTGTTACGAGTGTCACACCACAGGAACCTGCCCGCGCCACTTTGCATGTCCCACCTCAGCGTGCCACGTGCTCAGCAAGTCTGCAAGGAAACAACTTAGTGAATCCCTAGCCTAAAGGGCAAGGGAAGGAGAACAGGAGACAGGTGAGCAGCTGAGCTGTTGGCACCTGCTACATGACTTTTCATCCATAAGTGAGCTGTTTAAAGCTGTATTTTAAATCAGGCCAGGTTACTGGAATGGCTTATGGACCCCAGTGCAACATGTAGAAGCACATGAAGGAACCTGCAATGGCAACTGCTTTCGGGGAAGGGAGAGGGGCCACTGAGATGCCCAGCACAACCAGAAGCCTTACGCTTCTAAGACAAGGGCTCTTAAGCCCTAGCAATCACCCTCCAGCCCTGAGTGACCAGAACCAGCCACTACATGCAAATCTCAGTTCCTGTTTGTAGCCTCAGGAAGGAGGCTGATTCAGAAATGAAACCAAATTTTAAAAACCTGTAAGACAATTTAATATTATCAACAAGTCAGTACTTCAATGCTTTTTTCCCTTTCCCTAAAATAAGCATGTTTTCCCTAAAAAAATCCAGGAAGTTGGGAGGTATATTTTAATTAAACAAACAAACAAAACACATCGAAAACACAGTTATTTTCACAGCTATAAAGTATAAAACTAACATGTGGAATTCTATCCCATAATGAAATCATGCAGTAGGCTTACAGGAGAAACAAATACAAGTACAGATATGAAAAGAAGTTAATGTTTTCCAAGTACATTAAACACATTTCTGGACAAGTTTGGTTATGCATGCCTTCTCCTACAGTAATGTTGCAGTCAAGCAGAACAAAAATAACACGTTTTCCTCATCTTTTGTATTGAAGACTGACTTTTAAAAATACTTTTTTTTCCATACCAGCATTTGATTTCTTTCCAACTCCTTGGAAATTGCTGGTAAAAAAGCTTAAGATTCCATTATCAGTATAACTACCATTAACTTATTTTTAACCAAGTAATTAAATCAAGGGCAGATTTACTGAGTATACACTCAAAGACCTTCTACATATAATCATAGTGTGTATAACTGTTAATAGATTTGTTGGGTTTGTGATTGTTTGAGGTTTTTGTTGTTGTTTTTTTTTTTTTAATAAATTATTTATTACCTCCACTTCTTCAGGTCAGTAGGGATAATTTACTCCTGTAAATGGGTACACTCATGTTTTTTGTAGGAGGAGACTACTGCACTAAGTTTTCTCAGTTTATTACAGTCTTGACTGAAAACACTGGTCTCTCAAAAATCATAGATATTACAGAATCTGTGGGAATGTCATATACAAAAGGATAGTGCTTCCAACTCACTTTCATTGTCTGAGTGAACACCCCGACATGGAAGGGGAAAACAGTAGTACTAACAACATGGTCAAGTCTTGTGTGCCCTTTCAGTAACAGTTACATTTTATGGTTATCTGTTCCTTTACTAAAAAGGTACAAAATAACTGACATGGGAATGGAAAGAGGTATAACAAATTAAAGGTGTCTTTGTGGCAATGTATATCCCTAAGACAACTGATACAAATGCTCTTCAGCATGCATCAGCCCACGTAGTTAAGAATTACTTACACAGAGCCCTATCTATCATCAGTGCATCTTAATGACGACTAAATTATTCAGCCAGATTTTCCA